ATTTACAAAATTTACATTTAATATAAAGTTATTAAGCGGTGTAATACTTAATAAAAATTACACTGGTGTAATTATAACCCTATATATATATATATTTTTTTTTTTATTTTCTGAGAAATGAACTATAATTTTTACTATAGTCTTCCAGGTATTTGAATTTAGAAAATGCGATTTATTTTGAAAAAATGAGATTAATTAATCTGAGATTGTTTTAACTAATAAGTTTTAAATTCCAATCCTGAAATATAGTTAGTGCATGTTTTTTTTAGTATTTCATAATATATTTTCATGTCAACTCTATTCAAAATATGAAAGTTAAAATTACTTACTTCCGATTTAACGTGAAAAATCACGTTATTAACATCAAATCAAATATACTATTATTATATTAAATATTGTGATGTTTAAGTCTGAAAAGCAAATGAATTTATCTGAAATTGTTTAAACTTAATGAACATTATAATATTTTAGTCCTGAAATACAGTATAGTAAAGTAAGTACATTAAATACTGTGGAATGTATATAAAACAAAAAAAATCTTTTAAGGAAAATGACGTTTTGCTTGAATGTTTAAAAAGACAAGACTTTTAAAGAAAATGATGTTTTGCTAGAATATATTTGAGGAATCACACTTGCCCTCGTGTAATACACTTCCGAAAGTGACTTTTCCAGTTTCGTTAGGCTAATATAATTAATTTAGTTAGTGTAAATGGACCACGAATTCCATATTTAGGCTAGTGACAAAGCAGATAAAAGCATAATTTTGCCTTTAAAAGTTGAATCAGTTAATTTTAATTTGCGATTATGGCCCTATTGCAGACTAATTCAAACTCTCATTAATTTGCAGTGAAACATGCAACGATCGACATAGGTTCTAGCCCTAAATCAGTTGAAGATAGAGAGATTGAAATTGCAGTGGTTGGGATCCAACATTGTGTAAGCGAAGGACCAAAAGAGGTGAAAATTGAAGACAAAAATGCAAACAAAAAACAGCAAATGCCACGTGCCAGTGTGATGACAAGGCTCATTCTAACCATGGTTTCGAGGAATCTTATGAGAAATCCTAATACCTATGCATGTGTTTTGGGACTCGGTTGGTCACTTATATCATTTAGGTATTTTCCCATAACCCTTTGTCTATCTTCTCACTTTCTAAAAGTAACGTCATGTCAATAGCAACAAAAATTAATATTTATTATTATTATAATCAATTAATCTCTGGTTGTGCATGCGCAGGTGGAACATCAAAATGCCATCAATTGTAAATGGTTCCATTTTGATACTGTCAAAAACCGGGACGGGAATGGCCATGTTCAGCCTGGGTACTAGTTTTCAACGTTTTCAACGTTTTTAACCATTTTTTTTTTTTTTACTGAAGAAAATGTTTCTTTTTAATAAAAATAAACATTTTTTTTCTTTTATGATATTTTGTCTAAATTATTTTTTAAAAAAGTAATGTTATGCTTTTTAAGAAGAAATTACAATCTATTTCTTGAAAAAGTGTATTTTTAAAATTAATTTTAGAAACATTTGGTTTCATTAATTTTACACCATTTATTGTATTTTTATTTTTTACAAAAAAAAATAACATAAAAACGTTTTCGTTGAGAAGTTAACAGGAATATGAAACTTTTTTTTTTTTTGACATAAAAGGTCATTCTACAAAGTGGATGCACAGACCCAACATGCAACTGTGGCCGTGCATGTTCATTTTTTATACTTTTTCAAGACTAGCATTAACCATGGAATGACATATGTACGCAAGGATACAAATATTAAATATTTGAATAAAAAAAAAGTTAGGTTTGCTTATGTAAAATTTTAGTCTTGAGAAAAGAAAATAAGGTAAAATATTTGTGCCATGTATTTATTTCACTATTTTAATTTTTTTTATTTTATTTTGATTTTGAGACATAACATATATCAAACTTATATGTATATATGAAACATATCAAATGAAAACTTTTGTTATCGAGAGAAACTAAAATATAAATAAAAATTATTAGATTATATTACAATAATCAAAATAAAAAAGTTATGACTTTTTTTTTACAAGTGTTCCAAGACTTAAACTAATTTGACTCTGTAAAAAATAAGTAAAGTTTGGTCAAAAATTATTTTCATCAAAAATCAAACTCAACTCATTAATCATTTATGTTTAATCTTTGGTTATAAAAAAGTCATAATACCACTAACTAGCTTTATAATTAACATATTTTATAATAATTAAAAATTCTAACTTTATACATATATACATACGTTAGAAAATTAAATTGTAAGTATATCCCTATTTATTTTTAGAGACTGTATTTTACCAAATTATATGCTAAATGTTTTTTAAAATGAAATTATTTTTTTAATATTAAAAAAATAATAACTGAGTGTGTAAGTCCATATGTATAGAAAAGGAATACATTTATTTCAAGACTAAGTATATCTAGACTCATTCCACTTAATATCTCATGTTTTTTTATTCAATTTCAACGATTTAATAGTTAAATTTAAATTTTAGTACATAGATCAAGTATGCAAATCTTTAAAAAATTTGAAATTATTTGATATTTCGCTTCATTAATTGAAATTGAAAAAAATCATAAAAACATTTTATACATTAATTTGCATTAATGAAACAAAATATCAAATAGTTTTCAAAAATTTTAAAAATTTATAAAGTTAATCTAGACATTAAAAACTTTTAAATTAATAATTAAATAGTTGAAATTTAATATAAAATATTAAATAAAATAAATTTAGGTAAATTTATTTTTAAAATAAATAAATTCTTTCTTTTATCTATCTATCTATATATATTTTGATGCGATGGCTTTGTTGGGTAAGACTTTCGAATGGCACTTGCTTAAATAGGTCTATTCATGGCATTACAACCCAAGACTGTAGCTGGTGGAAATACTTGGGCAGCAATTTCTATGATAGCTCGATTTTTTGTTGGTCCATCAGTGATTGCTATAACATCCTTTGTCATCGGCATCCGAGGAGTTCTTTTACGTGTTGCCATTGTTCAAGTAAACAAAACTCACTTGCAAATTCCTTTAATTAATCATACTAAACAACACTCATCCCCTTCCGCCATAGGTCTTTTTTTAAAATAACAACGAGCTTTGGTTTGTCAAAAAAAATCCACTTTCTATATTATTAACCCTTACTACATCAGGGCTTGTTGTTATATTTTGAAACTTGAAAATAAGGATGTTTATGGATCAGTTTTTTGAAAAATTCGAGCCGAATCAAATCAAATATTTATAAAAGTGAATCGGTTAACCTATCCATTTTTTATAAATTAGACCGGTTTAGTTTTTTTAAAATATGGAACATTTTTTTTGAAATTAGATCGGCTCGGTGGGGTGCAGTTATCCACTTTTTACTCATATATGAATCGATTTTTTTAAAAAATCAAATCGAACCAAACCGATCTACTTTGTAAAAATGGATTGGATAACTAAACCGGTTTTATAAGGTAGTTCGGTTCGGATTTTTTTTTCAAAATGAATCAGATTTTTTAATATGGATCGATTAAGATCAATTTAGATTTTTTGCACACCTCTACCTGGCTGAAAGAAGATGATTGTTATTTACCCTTAAATTACAATAACATATATATTCAAAGTCATGTAATTATTTATATCACCATGTTTAATTTTGCAGGCTGCTCTTCCTCAAGCTATCACCTCCTTTGTATTTGCCAAAGAATACAATCTCCATGCAGATATATTTAGCACAGCGTAAGTGTGATGTTTTTAAAGTTTACAGCTATTAAAAATAGTTTTTTTTTTTTTTTGCCTTGTGAATATAATAAACCAACATAAACTCTAAAAAACATTTCTCCCAATTTGCAGGGTTATCCTTGGAACGGTGGTTTCATTGCCTGTAACAATAATTTACTTCGTGCTTCTCGGACTCTAACTCGTTTGTGAAGGCCAGAGAAGAAGAATATAAGTATGTATATATTTATGGTGAAAATTGTCAAAACTATTATTGTTTTATACTAATCAATTTAACTTGGCATGCGTCTCAAGTTTTACCATGATCTTCTAGTTAAAATGACAATTTTGACAAAAACACATGTTGGAAAATGACTAACAATAATTTGACAGAATTTAAGTTGACATAAAAAAATTACTTCAAGTACTTAACTGTATAGTTAAAGTTTTCCTACATAAGGGATTATAATTTTTTTTTTCCATCTGTGATTGCTATAAAAGATTGATACATTAAAAGAAAATAACATTAGCTAATGTATAAGGTACTTTTAAGTTTTAATAGGGAATCTAGTTATCTTCTATTTCCCATTTTACCACATTTTTTCTCATATATTCCTTTCTCATTACAGATCACTTTTTTTTTCTTCTTTTTTCATTATCTTTAAATTTTTCTTTTTATATATACCATTAATTCATTTCTTATAATTGAATTCTTCACAAAAGATATAAAGAAAAGAACAGAATAGAGGCAAGACAATATTAAATATGATGAAAAAAAATATTGCATCCGGTCCATTAAGAGATGGGGAACTCTAATGTTAGCAAAATGTCAAAATAAGAGTTGAATTGTGACTAAACTTATTTTTTATTTTTTGTTGTTCTAGAAACATGAAACTCATAAACCTTTTCATATTTTTCTTAACTAAATACACTTTTATCAGCTAAATTGTGTAATATTTAACTAATTGAGTGATCGTTTCTCATCTAATCAAAATATTTTGTACCTTCTAAAGATTACATTTGTTAATGTTTATTTTTTATTTTGCACAATTTCAGGTTACACATTCAGGCCTGCTGACAAAAGCAAAATTCTTCTACTAAAGTCATGACTACAAAATTATGGACAATCTTCTTTTCTTAGTTTTTCTTTAGGATTTATTTTATCAAACAACACTTCTTAAGTTCATGATTTTAACACTGGTGCTGTTTAACACGGATCGGTGGAGATCGTCCAGAATCCTATTGTTGGACGGATTCAAAAATATTATTTAATTTATAATATAAAAAATTACATAAGTAAGTTATGAAAAATTTATAAAGAAAATAATTGTTATAAATAATAAATCAATAGTCAATTTTCTCACTAGTTAACCAAAATCTACCAGTAATTTTAGAAATATATATTTATAATATTATATGTGAAAAAAAAAGTATAATATGTTATTGACTTATTTCTTTCTTTTTTTTCTCTTTCATTGTATGAACTTGCATCAGTATTAACTTAAAATCTTAAATAAGAGTTACATTTAATTTTTTTTCCTTTTTCTATATCTCTAATTTCTTTATTTTTTTTATATTTTAAAATCACGACATATCTTACTCTACTAAAATCTTAAAATCAAATTATGAACCTTCAATTTTTTATCATGTTTATTTTTGTGATGTGTCATCATTTACTTAACTTATTTTTCTCAAATCTCAAAATAAAATTATGAATCTCGACCTCTCTACTAGTTTCTTTTTGTTATGTTATCATTATTAATTATTTTTTTGTTGTATAATGGTCTCTAATGATAATTCATAGTCTCATAAAAATGTATAATACATTTAGTTATTTTTATATAACCTAATGTTTAATTGTTTGTATGTTTACATTTTTAAATTTGGAAATTATAATTATAACTAATATTCAAATATTTATTAAAATATTGTTTTTTTTTACTTGTCACATAGTATAACAAATCTCGGAGCTAACCCTAGCTTTTATATTTGGTATATAATTGCACTTTATTATAAAAATTATATTTAGAAGAATTTTGGTATTATTTCAATTTGAAAGTTATATTTGGGTAGAGTAAAATTCCTTTCATGTAATAATATGCTGTTTGGACTGTTTCTCGTGTATAACCAATTCTTGCTATCTTAAGTACCGTGTATTAGCATGTTGTTACTTCCTTTGCCACGCAAAATAATAAAATGGAGGTAAGCAAGGATCAAAAGCCTTTTATATAAAGGTTCAAATTTACATATCAGTCCACTACGCACACTATTTACATTTAGGGGAATCTTAATATACTTTTACTTATTTTTTATCCCACCTATTTTTTAGTAAGAGTATGTTAGCAATTTACATCAAAATTTTAGGACAAAAAAATCATTCATTTCTTTTAATTTGGTTAATTCGTACAAATAATATTATAGTAATTTAATTTAATTTTAAATGAAAATAAAATATTTTCTCTCTCTTATTAATTTCATTCTCCAATTCATTTATGTTTTCTATTAATTAATTTTATTTGTTCAGAGAGAGGGGAGAAATATCATGAGAGATGAGAGAGGAATGAGTTAAAGAAGGAATTTAATAGGAGAGAGATAAATATGTTAGAAAAAGAATTTAATAGGAAAAAGAAATGAGTTGGAGAAGAAATTTAATAAGAGATAAATGACTTAGAGAATGAAGTAAACCTCTTAAATAAGTGATTTTTCCCCTTAATTTCTTTTACCAAATTTCTTGTCTATAATAAAAGAACTGTTTTCATACTTGGGTAAGAAACAAAAATGAGTCACACACACATATATATATATATATATATATGAATAAATACACTTTTGGTCCCCTATAGTCTTTTATCCAAATTTTTTATCCTACTTTTTTAATTATGAAATTTTGGTCTTTCAAGTAGCTAAAAAATATTTCATAATTTGATATTTAAATAACAAGAAAATCATTTTATTAAGAAAATGATAAATAATGACCTAATAAAGATTAGAACTCAGGATCGTCAATATAAAAATTATAATTTAGACGACAAAGCTTTCATAATTATAAGTTGAGTAGTATATTACATATAATATTACTTCTCAAATTAAAAGTTTTAATGTATAGATCAAATTTTTTAAATTAAAAGTTCCTTTTAAACTTAAAATCTAAAAAATTGTGGATAATATTCACTAGTTTATTCTAATTTTTTTATTTTTTATTGAATAAATCTTAATTAATCATATGTTTTATTGAATTATTTTAAAAAATTATTTATTTCTCTAAATATTTATTATTTTTATAATCAATTAAAAAATTACTTATCTTTAATTTGTGATAAAGTGAAAAATTCACGAGACTAAAATTATAAGGAAAATTAATATTTAATAAAAGAAATATAGACAAAAAGAAACTAATAAGATAATTGGTCCAATAACTTACTTCTATAACGTATCTTAAGCTATTATGATGCGCAACAAGATAACCGATCAAATAATTCAAATTAATTAAAGAAACAGTATATAAATGTTATTTTTTGTTCCCAAAATTAAATATCCTATGAATAAAAAATGATCTCAAGAAGACTAAAATAATATATAAATGTTATTAACAACTAAACCACTAAATTAGTAAAACTATTTTACTGTAACTTGAATATTATTATATATAACATTAAGAGTTAATCAACCTTTATAAATTAATTAAACATAAACAATTATCTTGTGAGAGCATTTTTAAATTTTTTTATTTAATATATTAATTATTTTATCATATCACAAGTTTGTTTAAATATAACATAGGGCATATTGAATTAGGATTTTAAAGGACTTTTTTAGTTGAAAAACGTCTTGTGAATTTTAAAAGACTTTGCAGGATTTTCATGACTTTTAAGATTTTGTAGGATTTTGCAAGACTTTTGTTCCGGTGCCTAAAAGTCCCACATCGCTTAGGAGTCGATGCTAAGGGTAGTTTATAAACACCCTTTCTCCTTAACCCACCGAGGCGCTTTTTCAAGGACAAAACCGTGACGGCCCAACGAACACTAAAGCGGACAATACCTCGGATGCGGTGACCCTAACGATGACAGCGGACTTACAGTAGGAACATTGGCGCTAGAAGGAGGGCCCAGGCCACTCTTGCCCCTTAGCATCGACTGGGGGGCTTGTTCCGGTATGCCTAAAAGTCCCACATCGCTTAGGAGTCGAGGCTAAGGGTAGTTTATAAACACTTTTCCTCCTTAACCCACCGAGGCGCCTTTTCAAGGATAAAATCGTGACGGCCCAACGAGCGCCAAAGCGGACAATACCTCGGATGCGGTGACCCTAACGATGACAACGGACTTACGGTAGGAACATTGGCGCTAGAAGGAGGGCCTAGTCCACTCTTGCCCCTTAGCATCGACTGGGGGGCTTGTTCCGGTATGCCTAAAAGTCCCACATCGCTTAGGAGTCGAGGCTAAGGGTAGTTTATAAACACTCTTCCTCCTTAACCCACCGAGGTGCCTTTTCAAGGACAAAACTGTGACGGCCCAACGAGCGCCAAAGCGGACAATACCTCGGATGCGGTGACCCTAACGATGACAGTGGACTTATAGTAGGAACATTGTGGACCCCCATCTTGGAGCATCAAGCATACCAGCGAAGGAGGCTCACCAATCTTACTCGGAGGATCATCTCTACAGCAGATCTCCGGTAAGAACATTTGGCGCCGACCGTGGGGCCGATCAAGATAGCTCTTATCGGCCACGCTTATGGTATTCACCAGAAGCCATAGTAGACGCGCAACAGACGACGTAGATCATACAACCACCATGGATAACGAAGCGGCATTGAGAAGGCTGATCGAACAGGTAACAGATGCAGCAACAACACAATGCCGATCTGCAAAACATGCGTGCCAAACACGAAACCGACCTAGTTGCAATGCGGACCGCCAATGAAGCTGACCTAGCGGCGCTACGCGCTGAAAACGAGTGGATTCGCGCCCATCTCCCTCGACGGCCCTCCGATCATCCTCTTGAAGCAAGCAACTTCCACGAGGAAGAAGAGCATTTGGTCTCTCAGCCCCGACCCGCGCCTAGGGCCCCGACTCCATGCCCTGCCGCGCATCGGTCTCATGTACCGACGAACAAGTCGGCCCATGAAGTCAGCAGGGCCCCAACACATATCACAGGGGGTCAAGCAACTTTCCGGCGTCATCCCTTTGTGGATGGCATCATGGAGACACCACTCCCTCAGGGGTGGAAGCCTCTCCACCTCGATCGCTACGATGGCACGACGGACCCCGATAAGCACATCGACCTGTATACGACACAGGTAAACCTCTACACTAACAATGATGCTATATTGTGTAGGGTTTTTCTGACCTCGCTCAAGGGGGCCGCACTCAACTGGTACACCCAGCTTCCCGCTGAGTCAATTGACAGCTTCAGCACTCTGGTCAGGCGATTCATAGTGCAGTATGCAACGAGCCGACCTCACCACATCACTTCGGCCGCCCTGGACAGCCTCAAACAGAACGATGACGAGCCATTTCGGGCATTCATGGAGCGATTTGCGGCCACCTCAGTTAAGATCAGAAATCTGAACCCCGAGGTCGCCCTGCATGCCATGCTCATGGCACTCAAGCCTAGGCCCTTCGTCGACGCCTATGCCGTGAGGCTCCTCACGACATGGACGAGCTTCGCGCCCGGGCAGCGGGCTACATCCAGATGGAGGAGCACTCCGCTTTCTGTGACCAGGTTCGTGGCAAAGGACCAATGAAGCCAGAACAGGGCCACAAAGACAAAATCAAGGTCAACAACGATAGCCAATTCAAGAAGTCGAATAGGGCAAACAGAGGGGGAAGATATGACTTCTACACTCCCCTGAACGCGCCCCGCATACACATACTGAAGGAGGCCAGCAACAACAACTTGCTCACTCTGTCATCACCAGGTCACACCCCCAACAATGCCGACAAATCCAAGCACTGTCGGCACCACAGAAATCACAGTCACACCACTGAGGAGTGCCGCTCACTACGGGACCGTATTGAAGAACTCATCCAGGTGGGCCACCTCGGCCAATATGTCCAGCGACAACAAGGTCATCGAGGAGGCTATGGTGGACAAGGACGAGGCAGAGGCCGTGGTTAAGGAGCTCGCACGGACCAACCCTCTGGCTCTCAGCAGCATGCCGGCGGAGCAGTGCAAGCTGAGGTAAGCCAAGAAACAGGATCAACTCCCCTACGGGGAGTTATCAATACAATTGCAGGTGGCTTTGTAGGGGGAGGTGCCACCAGCTCAGCCTAGAAGAGACACCTGCGCAATATCAACACTGTCCATTCCGCTACCTCGGCTTCGCACCAAAGTTCACCACCGATCACCTTCATCGATAACGATTATGTCGGCGTCAGTCCCAACCAGGA